TTCGTAACGTAAGGTCATGTTAAACAAGGCCTACCTAGTAGATTATTTAATTTTAAGTGGTACTTACCTACTTTGAACTCCGAAATTACAGTAAGGTATTCTACGTCAGGGTGTGAGATGGAAATGAGGTTCGAATGCGCGAAAACTATAGTGAAAACGTTTATTGACCGAACAGGGGGCTTACTCTTGAATCCAATTCCGATCGATCGACATTGGTATTGTGAAATTTCGTACTCCTGAGTTGCAACACTAGCGCCCATTGCATCCGTATTGCGTGGATATTGAATGAACTAAATGGTATTGAGTTTGGCTTTATATTCCGTACTCTGAATGCTATTTCAACAGCTACGAAAAGGGTAATAATAATATAGTTTAGAATAATTATTGAGATTTTATTGGATTGAAATTGTATTGGCATTGATATTGGTTTTAAGAGTACCCTTGTGTCCTTAAAAACAAACAGGGGTTAACTTAAAATTAGTTAATGTAACCTGGTGCCTCGCGGAATAACGGCTACGCACTCTCGCGGCTAGTTGTCTACAAAGCCAAACGTTACACTTTACTAGCGCTCACGTTTAAAAATAATAGTAAATCCTTACTTAATATTATAATAAATAATATTTAATATTATTAATATTTTAATATTTATTATTTATTTATTACATATTTATATTTATATATTTATTGATATTGATATTATAAATCAGAAAGTGAGTTTGTTTGTTTGTTCCACTTTCACGCCGTAACTACTAAACCGATTGCTTTGAAATTTTGCAGACGTAAAGTTAAAAGTCCGGATTAAATAATAGGGTACTTTTTATTCCGGAAAAATTTGATATTCCCAAGGGAAAACAAAAGTATTAGTATAGATGGCGTTGTGTGTATTGTATATGTCACATAGGCTACTTTTCCTTTTAAGACGCGAGCGAAGCCGTGGGTAAAAGCTAGTAAAAAATAAAAAGTGTTTATTGTAATAAAAACATAAGACACACAGTTTATGAATATAACATATAACATATAACATCTAAACTAGGCCGAGCCTGTACCTTAGATGTTAATACGCTTCACTGACGTACATTCTGACGACTGACTGATATTTTGTTGACGTTTCAAAAATACAAAATTATGATTTAGGTAATTGAAATAAATGGTTATATGTAAGTTGGAGTTTATTAGACAGCCTCGTTGGTCGAGTGATCGCAAGTACGACTGGCCGGACAAGACGATGACCTCCCATTTCTAATCTTACCTCCGTTTTATCTAAGTACTGTTTTCATAAACGACAATAATCTGATAAAAAATATGTTTCTAATATTCTTTCTTTGCCTAACTGACTAATTACATTTTTAATTTTCATACACTGTCTACTACCCTAACAAATTCTTTCCATAGTTTCGTGATTCTTGGTAACCCCTTGAGACTTGGGGAAGTTTGATCAAATTGGGCCCAAATTGACTTTGCCAATATGGGAGGTTGCATACATAACATCACGCCTAATATTCCCTATGGAATAGCTAGATGTATGTTTGGGGTACAATCGATTTTCGCCCTTATTCCCTATTACAAGCCTCATGCTACAGTCGCTATTGTACGCATAAAAATTCCATACTAGCAAAAGATTTTGAAACTGGCATTTAAACTAGGTGTAACATATATTTCCAAGATGATAGCACCAATGTATTCAAATTTTATATAAATGTTATCCTACGCACATTCAATACATTCATGCATTATTAAATAATTAAATCTATATAAATAAAAATGAATTTCCGTTTGTCAGTCTCGCTAAAATTCGAGAACGGCTGAACCGATTTAGATGAACAGACAACAATACTATTCTACAATGTCAGATCACGTACAATGTAATATACAACAATATACTATTATACAATAAATTAATAGATATTTTCTCATAGAAGAAAATAATGTAAAACCATGACGAATGAATGAATCACAATCATAATATGACTGTTTTTTTAATGAAATCAGTAAATATCCAATTGACACTTCATGCTAATTTATGGACTAAAATTTCCAAGTAATTTTATAAAAACCAAATAAAACTACTTGGAAATTTTCCGATGGAAAAGAAATATGTTTTTGTTTATAATATCACAATGACAAGTCTGGCTTTTCCCAAAGAATTCCGAATTCGTAGACCAATAATTTTAGTTTTATAATTGTATGGTTAAATAATATCATGATGATGGCCACTGCTAACCAAAGGCCTCTTACTTAGGCATCTTCTGACACCACTTACTTAGCCATTTTCTTTCACCGTTTGTCAGTGGTGTCTAGATAATCTTACGAAGTACATATAACTCGGGAAAACTTACATTGTTACTTGCCGATGGTAGGTTTCGAACCCGCACTCTCGATGAGAAACGGGAAGCGAAGAAAGTGTTAAACCTCCGGGATACCACGACATTATAAAATGGAACAACCTATTGTTAAATATTTAAAACCTTCTTCAATGTATCCAATTATACAGTCGGAGTAAATAAAATACGATTACTTTAACCTAACCTTAGATTATTAAATTTTGTACTCTAATGAATTTGTCATTAGTTGCATTATGCATTGTTACTATTTAGTACCTATTAGACTAAAAAATTAATCTATAATGCTTACAAAATACACCCATTTCACATTCCAAAAAACGAAAATCTATTAACCACTTCCACATGACATTTACTACTGTAATTAATCTCACAAAAAATAGCAATGACACAACCACCATTAATAAGACATTACTTAACCAGCAAAGATTACTAAAAAAAGCCTATAAGGAAGATGATTAACTTGCGCCTGCGCCTCTGACACTGAACGTAATGGCTAACTTATTATGGTTTAGCCTTGACATCGATTGGTTATAGTAATTATGCAATATTGATTACTGGTCGCCAAAACCTGTGGTCATCTTCTGGTGGCAACCAAGACTATATTTGGGATATACAGTTGAGCACAGTAGGTACTGTAAGGTTTTGTTTTTATAATAACTATCGTGAGACATACTGGATTAACTAAAAATAATGGTGTAGGTACTCAAATAACCTTCTTTTTACTAATTTTGACATTATATTAATAGTAATCTAACAAAATGCCCGACAGGGACCATTATTGTTACTATTGTATTTTTTAACCACCTGTATGTGTACATTATGGATGCAATAAATACTTGATTTCTTGATTACTTGAAATGAAACTGTCATTGTTAGACATTTTTTTAAGGGGGGAAAATCATTGAATGATTGCTCCCGCCTGGGTGAGGCGAGAGGAAGTGTCAGACTCTTACTGACTAAAAACCAACCCGTTCCTACTCCTGCACGTTGAGCCGGAGACCCAGTAACCCGTTAGGTTCTTAGGCTACTGTGCATGTTGTGACACCTCAAAATGTTGTGCACTTAACAATTATTACAATGTAAGGGCTTAGTTGTAAGACTACTGGTTGTCCAAATTATCAATTCAATACATAGTATAAAACAAAGTCGCTTTCGCTGTATGTCCGTATGTATGCTTAGATCTTTAAAACTACGCAACGGATTTTGATGCGGTTTTTTTTAATAGATAGAGTGATTCTTAAGGAAGGTTTGTATGTATATACATATTGCACCTGTGCGAAGCCGGGGCGGGTCGCTAGTAAATAAATAAAATAAAAAATATACACCCTACGGGAGTCTTCCTCATTAACAAATAAGGAAGACTCCCCCTGTGACTCGAAACTAGTAGAGCTTTCCTCGATACATTTATATAAGAAAACCGTTATTTTTAGTTAATATTGTAATATTAAATTATTTTATTTATTAAACGATACCATTACTGAGTGACTTGCTGACATGTACCTAAATATTCTAAATATTCAATAGGAATAGGCCTAGCACTAGGCTTACTAAGAGATTTTTCCGAAATTCAATGCCAACGACACAAATCGAGAATTGTTTTTCTTTGTGTAAACATAGTAGCAGTTGCGAATTTGTGTAATAGATTTTTAATCTTATTATTTAGGAATAAAATTAAAAATTGCTCACTCCTGACTAAGTTACCGATTGCAGTCGTAATAGTAATCTTGTCGAGATAACAAGCCATAATATTATGCTAATTTATGGATCATATTTTTTTAACCATTCATACCCTATTCCTATTCTTAGTAGTAGCCATATTCCTATTCCTAGCCATATACCGGGTACAATTCCAGACTCCGTGCTACTACTTAGAATTTTTTAAAAACCCAGTAATACTTTGCCCGACCCGGGAATCGAATCCGGGACCCCTTGCAACCACTCGTCCAACGAGGCAGTCAGCAGTAAAAAATAATCACACTTTCATTAATTGATTTGAAGACCAACTTAATTTAAGTACTTTTATAGAATGTTTTCAAGAAATAAGTATACTGTTTGACGCTTATAAAGCGTGACGTCACAATACACAATCACGTACAAAACTCGTAGAAAACTGTCATTTTTGACAGTTCGAAAAAAGTATTGAATATGACTAGTTGGCAAGTACAGCTACTCAATTATACAGTCATCTTAAAACCAGCTGCGAATCATCTGATGGCACCCATTACCATATTTGGTATGTACAGACGAATGTAATATAGTATGTGCATAATTATGTTTAAAAATAGCTCGTGTAAATATATATTCATTGCATTCACAAGGACAGGACACAAAAAATAGGACGTTCAGAATTAAATACAGCCGTGACCTAAATAGTAAGAGAAAAACACTAATTTTTTGTTGACACCTTGTCTATAATTTGCTACCAAAATAGGGTAAATGCCTAATTTTTATTTTAATGTCCGTCTGGTAGATTATTTTAAAACATTACACGCGTATTTTTTATTTTCTTACAGAATCGACGGACTAATTAGATATTTAATTTTCATACCCCGTCATCATCCCTATTATAATATATGTGTATTGCTATTTATATCTGACTTGCCATGTAGATGGCTCTTTCTATTAAGTTTGTGTATTGAAGAAATAACTCATCTTTACCTTTTATCGGCCCCCGTCCAAGTAGTAATCTGAAAATAATAAAAAACATATTTAAGTAATACGAAGCAACATAAACCACTTCAAAACATCTCGCATGCACACAAAACTAGGCAAATGTAAACACGGCTACACATCGAGCTTTACATAACCAGTATAAACTGAACGTTAAATGTACGGAAAGATGATGCGACGCGACACCAGGATAAACTGGTTTTGTATAGATTGATGTGTGGCCGTGTGTACTACCTATAAGTATTAAAATCTTCTATAGAAAAGATTCCAGCAGTTAAGAACCTTTGAACGCATCATGTTAAACTAATTAATTAGTTAGTTTCCTGGGTCAAAAATAAATTATTTAGATTTTTCAGTCCAATTAAATATTGAAAAATAGTTACACTTTCATTCATTGATTTGACGATATACCTACTTAATTTTCGATTTAATCTAGCATTATTTTTTAGATAAAAGTGTGCTATTCGACGCGAAAATATGATGACGTCATAAGATGGATATTTCGTACAAAATTCATAGAACAGTATCGTTTTTGACGTTTCGATAAAACTATTGAATTTGAATAGTTGTAATATACCGTATTCTAGCAGAAACAAGCTATTTATTTCAGTCAACTTTGGTTTTCGATACGGATGTAATACGAACACAACACCCATAAAAAGTTCATGCAAAGCGTAAATACCAGAACAGTTCAAATGTCAAAATATAAAAAATAAAAAAAAATATCGACACACAATTTTACAACCCAACTTCCATCCTTATGCAAATGACACTATCTTAAACACATCTTAAATGTAATTCCACTGGCTATTTTGCCATTTTGCACATGAATGTACAATTATTAAAGTAAGATATCACTGCTGACTCCAATGTTCATGCAATAATCATAATTATAGGTTTAACTTGGCCAGTTTTAAGCTTAAACTCCTTGACATGAATGTACCATCTTCATACTATCAAGGTGCATGAACATAAGGTATAATAATATTAATGAAAGGCGTGTTTTTGCAATGTTGTCGTAAAGGTCTCTGAAATGTCCAGCAACAGACGATCTGATGATAATGCTAATCCTAAATACTGTATCAGGGGAAAGAAAGAAACAAAACGTGTCACAAGATATTTGCCACAGCGATTTTAAATTCTTAAAAAAGAGTAATATGTTATATCTTGTTATTCAGTACTCCGCCAAATTTTAAATAAGTATAAAGTTCAAACGTGATCTTCAAACGACTAGGCGCTAAAGGGCTGATCCTGCTCGAAGAAAGCGTCGAATAGGCAACCGCCTTGATGCCTAACACGCTACAATCCAGCTTGTATGAACTGCAGAAGGACCTTTGGGGCCACGGGTGCATAGAGTGGGGACTGATACAAAAAAAAAGCGATGATCAAGGAACACGCACGTCTCCCTAGGGATGTGCTGCTAATGGCGTTGCACGGCGGGGGCTACGGAGCAAGTCTCTTCAGAGAACCCGGTGCCCCTTACGTGTGCCACCAGGGTGGTTGTAGTGTACGAATCTCACACTCCCTAGTCTTCCTCCCCAAAAAGCTAGGCGACTTTTAAAAGTTCGACCCCGACATCAAAAAAGAAGATACCTTCTACAGTTCTACCTATCCTAATATCGCAATATAAACATGATATTACATTAACTAATTATACTGTATCACTAGATAATCATCAGAGTAATCAGCCAATTGCAAAGCGAACAACAATAACTACGCGAGGTGACCTTGAATTAAACCATGCGGAAACTAATAGGAGGATATTCCAACATTACTTAGTAGATATTGTAAACAATGCAAAACCATTATTATAAGATACTTGCTTCTGTCCGCGACTTCGTACGCGCTATCCCGTTTTCACCCGTTCCCGTAGGATTTTCAGGACTTTTTTATGTCTTAAGAACCTTCTCCTGATAATAACTAGTGAAATCGGTCCAGCCATTCATGCGTGATGTCGTGACAAAGGGAAAAAGGGAAAAAGGGATTCATTTATATATATATATATATATATAAATTTAGCTTTTTCTTGGCTTCTCTCAACTTATAAATTAAACTACAAGTAGTGATTATCTACAGAAGCACTAACATCAACAGTCTACAAGTGGCCAACGCTGACCAGCCTTTTCGCACACAGAGAAGGTTTCAGCATTAATCACCACGCTTACTTAATGCGGATTGGCGTTTTCAAACTTATAATTAGAAATTATAAGCCCAGGTTTCTTCACGATATTTTCCTTTGCCATCTGCCAGTGGTGTCTAAATAATCTCAGAAAGTACATATAACTTGGAAAAAGTCACATTGGTACTTGCTGTTGGTAGATTTCGAATCCACACCCTCATGCATGAGAAGTATAATGAACAGAAGCATAATACAACTAAAAATAAGTAGCATAAAATAAAAAAATATTTTTTTTAAACAAAATAAATAAAAAAAGTATTAAATTCTGTGTGAACAGCTCCTTGTATGTACATCGAATTAAAGAAGAATTGCAACGGACCACAGAAGAGTTCAGGGATGTCAAATGCCGAATTATCAGACTCTAAACAAAAAACATAGATGGTATACCTTATGGCTTATGGTCTTTATAATAGAGAATAAAATCCTTTTAACAAGAAGTCCGTTACCATATTCCGCTCTTTGATAGCTTTGGTATTGGCTAGTAAATCAGTCAGCCATTACCCTCCATTAACTAAGCCAACAACATAGTTCTAGACATTACATATCTACCTACCTAGTAGCTACATTACTATGTGTTAATTAGTATTCAATTGTAATGCATATGACGTCATATTATCATTGATATATATAAGATAAACGTCGAATCTATTGAGACGTAGTTAATTAAATTGGGTAATGGAGACAGGCTTTGCATAGGACACAGTATTATTATAGGAATCATTGTATCATCAATACTAATAATTTTTATAATAACTATCGTGAGATATACTAAATTAACTAAATATTGCGGGGAATATATTGAGAAAAGCTCTACTAGTTTCGAACTACAGAGGGGTTCTTCCTCATGAGCAGTGCGCGTGGTCGCGGCGATGTCACGCAGTAGGCTGCGATTTTTATTTAATACTAATAATTCACTACTGGACTATTAAGATCTCTTAACATAAAAGGGTATGCCATAGTCTCCCTTGGCCAGAAGGCTATGAAGGTACAGCCCATGATATTTATATCTGGACTATATACCTTTACTACGTATAAAAATTGGCATGATCTTCACATTTACCCGGAACTGCCGACAACCTCACGGGTTACCGGGGCTCCGGCTCGAGGCAGGAGTGTGTCAGGCTCTTACTGATTATTCTGTGCTCTTACTGACTAAAAACCACCCGTTCCTACTCCTGCCCTTCGAGCCAAAACCCCGGCAAACTGTTAAGTCCTCCGCGGCTCCGTATTGGCATCAGCTATTGGGCCCCATTAAGCTTAAGAGTTGGTGACAAATGTATTCTACTCTACTGTTATAAGAACCTTAAATTTATGACTCATAGCAAATAGGAACATAACATAACATCACGCCTTTTTTATCCACGAAGGGGTAGGGAGAGGTGCACATTTCGGCACTTAATGCCACTGTACAATTTCACTATTTATGTTATAAGTCCCATGTAATAGGGGGTGAGCCTATTTTCATATACCGGGCACATATCCAGACTCCGTGCTACTACTTAGATTTTTTTAAAAAACCAGTAATACTTTGCCCGACCAGGGAATCGAACCCGAGACCCCTTGCCCTGCAGTCGCACTTGCGACCACTCGGTCAACGAGGCAGTCAAATAGGAACTTCATAATAATAGTAGTATAACTTCACCAGTATCTTAAGTAACCACACTTAAGTTATGGGTCTTCAAAATGAACTATTCGATACACCTGCTACATTTATTAAATCCTGAACGCAGTTTAATATAAGTTTAATTCCTGTTTATGTTCAACTTAATTTCTTAATGGAAACTTTACGCTAGTTGTTGGTTAGAGTGATTGGCAGAATTCTGTTTGTTTGTTTGTTTTGTATCTTGTTGGATGAATGGTTAAGTGGGACAGTCGATTACGGGATCTTACGGTTTATCGGTCCACTATTGTAATTTATTTAAGAGTTACCATGGAATTTCTTCTCCATAAGAATCTATACTTTGCAAAGAGCAAATAGGAAGCTATTATGCTAAAAATATCAGTCTGTCCATCATGTACCTTAGTGGCTAACTCTCTATATATTGTTTGACATTCAAAGGTACCTTTTATTGGTCACTTTTTTGGTTTGTTGGCGAGGTGTATGGCCAACTGGCCGCCGCGCAACGAGTCGCGGGTTCGATTCTCGCACAGAACAACTATTTGTGTGATCCACAGATTGTTGTTCTGGGTCTGAGTGTCATGTGTATGTGAAATTTTATGTTTGTAAACGCCCACGACACAGGAGAAACTCATAGTGTGGGGCAACGTTTTTTTTAAAAAAATCTAATTGTAAGAAATTATTATAACTTTGACTTACTTAAGAGTTTAGAAGGTGTCTGGCATATGGGAATAGTTTCACGCATTAATAGATGGGAAAATATATGATACACAACATACACGTCCGTTCATCATCATCATCAACAGCCTATAAGTGCCCACTGCTGAGCAAAGCCTCTTCTCACACGGAAAAGATTTGAGCATTAATCTCCGTTTGCTCAATGCGGGTTGGCGATTTCAAACTTATGATTAGAAATTATAAGCCCAGGTTTCCTCACGATGTTATTCATTACAAAATTTTCTCGAAGCTCTCGATTGCATGATGCTCCATATTATGAACACTAGTAATATTTCATAGAACCAAACCTTTGTTTAACCCTAAAGGAAATAAAAATATGTATATATATATAATGTAGTTATCATATCTCTATCACTACATAATATAAAACAAAGTCGCTATCCGCCGTCTGTCTGTCCCTATGTATACTCAGATCTTTAAAACTACGCAACGGATTTTGATGCGGTTTTTTTAATAGATAGAGTGATTCTTAAGGAAGGGTT